AACCCAGCGATAGTTTACGTTTATTACCTCCGCTGTAGTTCTTTGTCGTGTGTTTGCAGTGAAGCTGGAGATCAATGGCGTGTATGACTGCTGTGACCGCGGCGTCCGTGTGTTCGGCGGGTATTCCCCGCAATCGAGCGAATAAGTAGAGCATCTCTTCGCCGGTCAGTCGATCCAGAAGTGCGTCAAATTGTGGACAATAGCCGATACGACGACCGAAAGGCTTCGGCTGGTGAACCAAATCGACGGAATCGATGTAAGCGTTGCCGTCGTTGGGGAACAGCTCTCCGGTGAGCATTGAAAACGTTGTGGTCTTTCCGGCGCCGTTCACTCCCAACAGACCGAAGCACTCGTTCTTATGGACGCCGAATGTCAGGTGATCTACAGCTTGAAAGTTGCCGAAACTCTTACACAGATTCACCACAACAATGCCCTCCTGTGCCCTTAGCTCCGGGCTCTTCATGAGCTGATCCACGCGCTGTCGTTCGGCCAACACATCCGCGTCTTGACTATCATTGGCCACGAGATGGAGATTCGGGGAGTAATTCTTTCGGCGATTAATTAGGCAAAAATTTTCTGAAATAATTAAGTCATAAAATAAGTCAATAATGCATTTGTATTGTCAAAAATTGTCATCAAATCAAAAGCCAAACCTTCGATAATCAATAACACGATTATGAATAACAGCGCCGACAATATCAGACCGATTAGTTCGCGGCCAATGCCCGCCGGATTCATAGTCCACGGATTCAAGTGTTTACACGCTGTCATATTGCTATAACCCGCGGGTTTCGGTAAATATGGCGGCCACGGGTCGGGCCATTCGGTGGGAAAGTTTGGCGGCAAAGAGCTGCCGTACGACGCTTTAATGGCATCCAATACTTTGGCGCACAACTGTTTGCTCACATTAATTATATATATCTTTGTGAAGCCATAGTTTATCGAGAATATGGGTATCAATCGGAACGCGTGTATAATCCATAATAAACCCTCCTCTGGTGTTTCGTTCGGTTTTAAGTATGAGTTCATGTTATAGCCCGAGTAAATGGCATTTACAATGAAACCAAACAACAGATTAAACACCAGTAATAATGAAAAACCGATTGGCGATGAGTTGAACCAAAAGGAGAGACAATAGGCTATGGATATCGACGACAAACCAAATGCCAGTAACAATAGGAAGAAAGCGGTGCCCGACTGCCAGCCCTTGAAAAACGCTTCGTTTACGTCAAACATATAGATTACAAGTGATAATAGTGTGATCGCTAACAAGTGGTTCAATATATCAAACAAGTAGTTTGACAGCCAATACACGGCCGAAGACAGACCAGTCATCAGTTGCAGGGCTTTGGACTTCGAGGCCCTCTCAATGATGGGGTATATGATGTAAGAGGCGGTCAAAAATGGTAACATAATCGGCATTAAGAGTNTGATGGACAAAGAATTGTAATATTCTTCAGACGTACCGCTGCCGGCGACCAGCCTTTTGAGCGGTTCTAAGATTGTGGTAATCGTGAAGTTCTTAAGTTTGAACACCAATTGGCGAACGAGTGACTCATACATCAAGTTTACAGATAACGGGAGTGAATGAGTGGACTCGTAGTTAAACCATATCTGAGGGTTGAGAGTACCGGAAGTGTTGCTGACGGCGCCGCCCAACACATACTTCAACACGTATTGCTCAAAATCGCGACTCTTTTCCAGCAGCCAATCCGGTGGATAATTATTGTTGGGCAATAGGTTTGCGGTCACGCCGTGTCTCTCGGCGTTCGGTATGTAGTGATTGGCGCCGAAGTCGTGAGTGTTTGGGTCCAAGTTGTAGTAGAATCCAATCGTACGGCCGTATAGTTCCTGGAGATCGAGTGTAATTGACTTAGATTTCTGAGTGGTCGCAGATCTGACGCTATTGTCGGCCAGAATAACAAGTATGAAGAGTACGCCCGGAATGACGATCTGGAACAACAACATCGCCCAATGTCTGCGACTGTAATGAAAACGCTTCACCAGAAGACCCAATACTGACATTTGGATCAGTTTAAAGCCGTCTTCATTCATGTACTGTCTTTCTATCTTCTCCTGCGAAGCCTTCTTTCCGTTGTCCACCTCTTCATGAGAACCGACTTTGAGAAACACGTCTTCCATTGTGGTCACAGTTATGCCAAATGAGTTGAATCCGAGCTCTTGTTTACGGCTCTCGAGTTCGTCAAAGAGTTTCGGGAATATATTTTTGTCCGTCTCTTTCGAGTTGTCGTCGGATTCGAGTGAATAAATCACTTCAGTATTGATTTCACTTTGAAGACGACTGTCCGGCAAATACTTCTGGGGAGTCGTGTCAACCAATTGTTTGCTATAATTGTCTGTCTTTGCGATTCTGAGGTGATATCCGGCGCCGAATCGCTTCTTCAGAAATATCGGAGAACCGCAACACTTGAGCACTCCTTCAGACATAATCGCTATTCTGTCGCCCAATACCTGAGTGGACACAAAGTTAGAGTTGAGATAATAGACTATTAGTGGCAAACAATGTAGTAATGATCTCACGTCCGCCTCTTCCATGTAATGAGTGGTCAGAAGTATAGTCTTCTCTCTGCGGACGTGTTGTAAGACATCCCAAATGGCTCGACGGGCCTCAGGATCCATACCAGAGGTCGGCTCATCCAGTATCAGGACTTCTGTGGTGCCGATGATAGCGATTCCTAGACTTAGCTTCCGTTTCATACCTCCGGAGAGAAGTGAACTCTTCCAATGCCTTTTGTCGCTCAATCGGATTATTGTCAGCACTCGAGTGATTTCAGACACAATCTTATCGCTCGGGATGTCCTTCAGAACAGCGTAGAGTTGGAGGTGTTGTTCAACAGACAAGTCGTTGAAAAGTATGTTTTCCTTTAAAAATACAATAAAATTACGGTTTAAATGAAGTGATAATTGACACAAACCTGTGGACAATAGCCGATACTCTTTCGGGCCTCACGAGTGGCGGTCGACACGTCGTAACCGTTGACCAGTATTTTGCCCGAAGAGGGAGGATATATACCGGTAATCATATTCATTGTTGTGGTCTTTCCGGCGCCGTTGTGTCCCAACAGACAAGTGATTTGTTGACTCAATATATCCAAAGACATGTGTTTAACACCTCTTCCGGCGCCGAAATCTTTGCTCACATTTCGCAACGAAATCATTG